AGTGAAAGTAGAAAAGGATGAATTCTTTCCAACGGACCTCCTCTTGCTTTCATCTATTTATGATGATGCAATCTGCTATGTTGAGACCATGAACCTTGACGGGGAGACAAATTTAAAGTTAAAACAAGCATTGGAGGTAACTTCATCCTTACATGAGGACTTTAACTTGTGCGATTTTAATGCGGTTGTTAAATGTGAAGACCCAAATGCAAATTTGTACTCATTTGTTGGAACTATGGAGTTTGAAAAGCAACAGTTTCCCCTCTCTCCCCAACAGCTTCTCCTCAGAGACTCTAAACTCCGAAATACCGACTACATATATGGAGTTGTTATCTTCACTGGTCTCGACACAAAGGTTATTCAAAATTCTACTGATCCCCCTTCAAAAAGAAGCAGAATTGAGAAGAAGATGGATAAAATTATCTACTTTTTGTTCTTTGTTTTGTTTACTATGGCAATGGTTGGATCTATTTTCTTTGGGATTGCAACCAAAGGTGACTTAAACAATGGGATCATGAAAAGGTGGTATCTCAGGCCAGATAATTCTACAATTTTCTTTGATGCTAAAAAAGCTCCATATGCAGCAGTTTACCACTTTTTGACTGCCCTGATGCTGTATAGCTACTTTATCCCCATCTCCTTGTATGTGTCAATAGAAATTGTGAAAGTTCTTCAGAGCATCTTCATCAATCGAGATATTCACATGTACTATGAGGAAGCTGACAAACCAGCACATGCCCGTACCTCAAACTTGAATGAGGAACTCGGCCAAGTTGACACAATTCTCTCAGATAAAACTGGAACTTTGACTTGCAATTCAATGGAGTTCATTAAGTGTTCTGTGGCAGGGACAGCTTATGGCCGAGGTTATACAGAGGTTGAGAGGGCTATGGGTAGGCGAAATGGTTCGCCCTTGGTTCATGAAAGTATAAACAGAGAGGCCAATGTCAAGGATTCTACTGATACAAAGCTACCCATTAAAGGCTTCAATTTTAAAGATGAAAGGATTATGAATGGAAATTGGATTAATGAGCCACATGCAGAATACATCCAGAAGTTTTTCAGTTTATTAGCAATCTGTCATACAGCCATTCCGGAAGTTGATGAAGATACTGGGAAGGTTTTGTATGAGGCTGAATCTCCTGATGAAGCAGCATTTGTGATTGCAGCAAGAGAACTTGGTTTTGAATTCTACAAAAGGACGCAAACAAGCATATCACTGCGAGAGTTGGATCCAGTGTCTGGCAAGAAAGTTGAGAGGTTAGTATATTTCTTAGTTTTTCTCATAAATAGGACTTTCAAATATGTATGCCACAGTCTTCTTTCGTTTCCGTTGGTGTGATGTGGGTTCATCAGGATACCCGATTCCTAATGCCTCCACATTGATTTCACATGCACTTTTATACCAGGAATATCCACTTTTATATTCATCAAGTAACTTCTATTTTGCAGGTCATATACACTTCTGAATGTTTTAGAGTTCAACAGCACGAGGAAGCGAATGTCTGTGATTATAAGAAATGAGGAAGGAAAAGTACTATTGCTTTGTAAAGGTGCTGACAAGTATGTATTAACTGTCTCAAAACTTGAATCTGTCCCTAATTTCCCTGTTGCCAAGTTAAAAGCACTTTTCTAACCAGCGTAGCTCATTTTCTGTGCAGTGTGATGTTTGAGAGGCTTGTCAAAAATGGTACAGGGTTTGAAGAAGAGACCATGGAGCATTTAAATGAGTATGCTGATGCAGGGCTGAGGACCTTGATACTTGCCTATCGTGAACTTGAGGAAGATGAATACAGAGAATTCAATGAAAAATTTATCAAAGCCAAGAATTCAATTAGTGCAGATCGTGAAACATTGGTTGATGAAGTAACAGATAAGATTGAGAGAGATCTAATTCTTCTTGGTGCAACTGCTGTTGAGGACAAACTCCAAAATGGGGTGTGTAGTCAAATACCGATGGCATAACATGGAAGTTTTTTTTGTAGACATGGTATTGAATTCCAAAGTGATGTTCTTTCTTTCTTTCTTTTTTGGTTAGGTTCCTGATTGCATTGACAAGCTTGCCCAAGCAGGAATTAAGATTTGGGTTTTGACTGGAGACAAGATGGAGACTGCCATCAACATTGGGTATGACTTCTGGGTATCAATTATTTGGGCTGTGGTGAGGCCTTTTTTTTTCTTCCTACTAACGAAGGTCTCTGACTCAAATTGTTAACCTGCAGGTTTGCCTGTAGCTTGCTTAGACAAGGAATGAAGCAAATTATAATCAATTTGGAGTCTCCTGAAATCCAAGCGTTGGAAAAGACAGGAGATAAGGAAGCCATCGCCATGGTAAAATAATATACATATAGTTGAGTTAGTTTATGTATTGAAAATGAAATCTGTAGCTTTGATACTCAAGGAAGTAAAACAGTATTCTTGAACAACATAATAGCCTAATAGAGTAAATACACATTAATCTATCTTAAACCATTTGAAGTCAGAGTACATATGATACTGATAGGATATTATTCATCTTTAGGCATCAAAAAGAAGCGTTATCCATCAGATAACTAGGGGAAAGGCTCAGCTTACGGCATCAGGCGGGGCCTCTGAGGCATTTGCATTGATCATTGATGGAAAATCACTTGCCTATGCTCTGGAGGATGATATAAAGAAAATGTTTCTAGATCTTGCGATTGGCTGTGCATCTGTTATTTGCTGCCGTTCATCACCAAAACAGAAGGCACTGGTGTGTTTACAAATTACAATCTCATGGGTTTTTCTTTTTCATTTCAATAGCTTCATAAGGATGAATTCTTGCCTTTTCATGCTCAGGTAATCAGATTTAAGAATTGATTTGTTTTAAATGTTGAAATGAAACAGGTCACGAGACTGGTCAAATCTGGAACCGGGAAAACGACACTAGCTATTGGTGATGGAGCCAATGATGTGGGAATGCTCCAAGAAGCAGATATTGGGATTGGAATTAGCGGTGTTGAAGGAATGCAGGTATTTTACAGATTCTTCCACATGTTCTATTGAATAATTTGTTTTTTTCACTGTATTTTCTCTATGCTTTTATTCTCATGAACTTTTCATGCTTATTATTCAATTCAGGCGGTCATGTCAAGTGATATTGCCATTGCACAATTTCGATATTTGGAGCGTCTGCTGCTTGTGCATGGGCATTGGTGTTACAGAAGGATCTCATCAATGGTAATGCAATCTCGACAATGTGACAAAAAAATTTAATTTATCACAAGCAAAAACTTATGTGTCATGGTAAATTGACATTAACAAATTTCTCCTTGCAGATTTGCTACTTCTTCTACAAGAACATCGCATTTGGTTTTACTCTCTTCTTATACGAGGCGCATACATCCTTCTCTGGACAGCCCGCATACAATGACTGGTTTTTGTCACTGTACAATATATTCTTCTCATCATTTCCGGTGGTCGCTATGGGAGTTTTTGACCAGGATGTATCTGCCCGGTTTTGTCTCAAGGTAAGCTCACCGGGCCAATGTGCAAAATTAAGTTAAGATTAACATGCGTAATTTTGAGCCTGGTTTTTGCATCTTTTGGATTTATTGTTTATTCTGTTTGGTTGTGCAGTTTCCTCTGTTATACCAAGAAGGGGTGCAAAATGTTCTCTTCAGCTGGCGTAGAATACTCGGATGGATGCTGAATGGTGTTACGACTGCCGTCATTATTTTCTTCTTCTGCACGAAAGCGCTAGAACACCAGGCCTTCAACAATGAAGGGAAAACTGTAGGGAGGGACATTCTTGGAGCAACAATGTATACTTGCACAGTTTGGGTTGTGAACTTGCAGATGGCACTTTCCATTAGTTACTTCACCTTGATACAGCACCTTTTCATATGGGGCTCAGTTGCATTATGGTATCTTTTTCTCTTGGCATATGGAGCCATGTCGCCCTCATTCTCCACCACTGCCTACAAGGTCTTCGTCGAAGCCCTTGCCCCCGCCCCTTCCTTCTGGCTCATCACATTCTTTGTGCCAATCTCAGCTCTAATCCCGTACTTCACATACTCATCAATTCAGATGCGCTTCTTCCCTATGTACCATAGAATGATACAGTGGATAAGGTATGAAGGCCACTCAAATGACCCTGAATTTTGTAATATGGTGCGGCAGCGATCCTTGCGGCCAACCACCGTGGGTTTCACGGCACGCTTAGCAGCAAGGACCAGCCGTACAAAAGATAGACACCATAACCGTAGGTGATTTTTGAAAGTTTGTTCTTTGGTACTGGTACAGTACAGTAGGTCTCAGAGAATGCACTTCATCAATCTCTGCCAGTTTTTGTAACCTCTGCCTTTTGTACATGATTGGGTTGCACATACATATATATACAACAACATTTTTTGGTTCAATTTGTTCTAGGAGCGGGCCCTGGGGAGAGGGTACGGTAGCTAGATGACTCTGTACAGAAGCACAACATATGCTAGATGGGTCGTTGCTTTTAGAGAATTTATGTAAATTTTGAGTCTTGGCAATTACTGACCATGCTTAGTTTACTTCTTACTGGCAAATTATATGTAATACAAAGTGAAATAATTCATTGTTAGGTTTTTTTTAAAATAATAAATTTCGATCCTTTTTCATGATTTTTCCTTTTCCCTTTCATCTTTGATCAATTCTGCTCTTGGAAATTTGGGTAATATTTTATCCATTTCTGTCTATATGTTTATACACACACAAAAACTCATCACTTTCCAAGATGGAGCTCCCCATCCTCCTTGTTTTTCTTCTGTTGAAAAAAGTTTAGGGGAGGGGAGGCTACCCCATCCCAGGACCATGACATACCCATTTTTGGTTTTTACAAATTACTCACTAAGTGTGATTGTCAGCAACCTAGGCATGGATAGCGAAGATAATGATCCTTACCAACTCAACCAATCCCATCCTCCTTCATTCAAGAAGAAAATGCCTACTTTGATTTGATGTGCATTGCATGGGATGGGACCCAAGTTCACATACAAAAGAATAGAAAATGACCAATTCATAAGTTCATAACATAACCTGAGAGAGAATTCATATGCAAATTACAACCCAAATGGTATGAAATTGAAATGGACCTAAACATGAACTACTAATAACATAAATTATTATTTATACAAAAATTTACAAGATGGGTTTTTGATTAATTAATTGGTAATTCTGATCTTAATTCACTAAAGGGATTGAGGGGCAGGTCCCAATATTAAAATTTATCAGTACATATATTATCCCCTTTCCTATGCAGATCCTCCTCCTCCTCCTCCTTCCACAAATCCATCCTATATATATTATCAAGACAAGCCCCTCAACCCCACAAACACAAAACCGATAACAAAAATAAAAAATAAAAAATAAAAAATAAAACATAAAAGTCAGCGATAAAAAGTCAAACCATCCACAAACGATCATACCCGCGCCACACCTGATCATACCCCAAGAAAATCGGCGGCAGACCGAGACATGATCGTCGCGAATTCGTTGAAGCTAATCACGCCATCGCCGTTCGTGTCGGCCTCTTGCATCATATCGGAGAGCTCTCTGTACGTCAACGGATGACCCATTTTGGCCATGGATCCGGCGAGCTCGGCGGCGGTGATGTAGCCGTTTCCGTCGCGATCGAACGACCGGAAGACCTCCGTGAGCTGCTCCTGGTTGATGAGGATCTCCGCGTTCATGTCAGGCAAGATGGCGGTGACGAGCTCGTCGAACTCGACGGTGCCGTTTCCGTTGGCGTCCATGTTGGCGAGGAGGACGTGGAGCTGGTCACCGGTGGGCTTGACGCCCAGAGACCGGAGCAGGGCGGCGAGCTCGAGCTGGGTGAGGCTGCCGTCGGAGTCCATGTCGAAGCGCATGAAGATGTCTTTCAGCTGCTTCAGCTGATCGGAGCCAAGCGCGGCCATCATTCTGGTAATGGCCAAAGAAGAAGAAGAAAGAAGCAAGGGATCAATAAGATACCAATTGTGTTTTGGGCGTTTTGAGTTTTTTTTTTTTTTTTTTAAAATTTTGTGGAGTGGTAATTGGCTTGTGAAAAGTTGTGGTGCGAGGCTAATTGAGTTTTTTGTTTTAAGACTGTTTTTTCGAGAATTGCTAATAGTATTTTATTGATAAGAGGGAAAATAATTAGTACAAAAACCGAGGTATGTCGTCGGGATTAATTTCTTGTGAAGATTAAAACTGAAAACGCGTTTTTCTCTATAGTTGATTAATGTTTGACTATGTGGTTATGCATTGGGAAAAATGAATGCTAATGCTATTTACTAGGGATTGTTTGTTAACCATATTTAGGTCTTAAAAGCTTTTGTTTTACTATTTTAGTACGAGTTGATTTGGGTCGGTTTTAGTTTTCAATTAAATTTAACGCGGTTAGCCCTAGAGATTAACTGAGGACAGACCCTTTGGAGGATTAATTATTTTAATTAGTTTAATTAACCGACTACCTTCATTTTGTTTCCACAGAGAACATGGGTCGGCTGTGATGAGTTTTTCAATCATTTGGAGTTGGCATAATTAAGGTGAAGATCGAGATTCAGACAACATTTTTCTTAAAGTACGCGACGTTCCAATCATAACAAAGTTGACAATGGTGTGGTCTTGAAGGCGTGACATTTCAAAGTAAATGGACAAAATAATTATTTGACATGTACTAGACATGCTTCTGTCAAGATATTCTATATGTGAGATAAGTTAGAAGTGTCCAAGTCTTTGATATATAATAAAAGGATTGGACTTACATACTGAAATTGACAACCTGCACCTTCTTGAATATGTTTCATATCCATCCATCGATCCATGGCTATTTGATGAATTGCAGAAACTGTAACCATAACTAAATGAATAAGCCACAACAAGTTGATCGATCCATGGCTATTTGACAAAGATCTAAACAACCCATTTCAACAGCTCGCTAGCTAGGTTAACTTATGATCAATAACTGACAGAGCCAACCATTTCAATCAATTGAAACTGCACAAATCTACTGTCAAATTGATCATCTTCTGCTGAATGATGAATTGGGGAACAACCCATTTCTCTTCTACCCCAAAAGCTTCCAAATCCAAACTCTCCTCTCTGAGATAACTCCTGAAGCACCTTGTCCACCTCCTCCATGCAACATCTGCAACTATGGCCTGCCTCTATGGGCCTTATGGACTCTCCAAGAATACTTACAAAGTCATCCTTGAATGGATCTAGTACTATTTCTCCTTGACTTTCCACTACAATCTCTTTCCTCTTTCTTTGCTGAAGCTTCTTCATGGTGTAGTCTCTTGTCTTTTTTATCAGCTTGCAAGGAAGCTTGAACAAGATGAAGATGGTGATTTGCAGGATCAAGCATTGACAGCAACATGAAATGACCACACAATCTGCAGCAACCATGCCACAATCTTCCATGGCTTGGGAAAGTCAGGAGGAAAGGGGTGACGGTGGTAAAGAGAACAGTTTAAGGAAATCATACCCCTGACCCTGCTGTTAAGGAATAAGTTCCTTCTCTTCCAGGGAGGTAATAGGAAGGGTGAAGCAATTGGAATGATATGTGGCAGATTGCTAAAAAGGCTGTATATGAGTCATGCCTTCCATCACTGTTGCTTCTGACCGGGGCTATCCAAAATATAATAAAAAGCTGTTGTTGCTTGGCTTCTACATTTTTGGTGGAAGATTTCTTTGATATCTTTAAGCGTTTCCTTATAAAGGTGTCACAGAGCTCGACTTTCAAAGAAAGCTCCCTCTCCCTTTCAAAGAAGACTTGCAAATTAATTAAATATTCGCAAAATATTCGCAAGTCTCAAGCTTACATTGTACCAAACTCTGTTAACATCTTTGTTCATAGCTAGTCTTCTTCAGTCTTGTAATGGATTAATACATCTTTAACATGTTGGCAAAGTTCTGCAAATAAATTATAGCGCATGGATTTGTGAAACAGGGGAAACAAAAGAGAGAAGAATAGCATCCATGGTTAACAAAATTGAATTATTACTTTTATACACCACCATAAATGTTGGTAGATGCAACAAGATCATACATGGGCTAAATAATTTACAAGGGCAAAAAATAGCCGTGCAGAAGCTTGTATAACATCTAAACCTGATGCAGTCAGTTTCGGTTTCAGACAAATCAGGGTCCTCCCAGCTGAGCCAATCCATATCTAGCTCAATTTGGCAAAACCCTTGGAATTCAGTATGAATCTATCTCTCCCAATATTTACTATGGATCTTGACTAAAAAAATCTGTACTGTAATTTTGACTACCAAATGCCATTCGCCGGAACAATCTAATTTCGGCTGATTGTTGTGCCGAGTTAAACGCCTCGCTTTCGCCCACTCTCATTCCATTGGTTAAATCGGAAACAGCCAAACTATCAAAAGCTCTAACAACCTGAGGACAGTAAGAACCAAAAGAATGATGATTTCAGCTTAATGAATAAGTCACATAAGAAAATACTTTCAGGTTCTTATTACCTGTCCCATTCGTGGTCTCTTAGCAGATGAATGCCGCACACAAGCAGCAGCAATCTCAATCATTCTGAACATTTCACTTTCAACGTAGTTCTTTCCGAGCCTTGGATCTACCACACCTTCAAACTCCTCATTATCAAGAGCATAACTCAATAATGGTCGAGCCTGGAAAATAAATTGCCTTGTCACAAAAGCTTGATTTTGACCCCAGAAAATTCATTTGGTTAACTGTACAGGTTTATTTCATTCTATACATTGTCACATATATGGCTCCTATGCATCAATGGTTTGCATCTTTCTCATGCATTTAGGTAAATATGAGGGGCAGATTTAAAAAAAAAAAAAAAAACTAAAGGTTTCAGGTCTTCTCTACATATTTCATGATTTGATCAACATAGGATTTTAGACCACAAACAAAATGGGTACTTGACTTGCAACAGAGTTGCTTAAGGGTTTCTGGTCTTCTCTATCTGTTTCATGACTTAATCAGCGTATAATTTTAGACCACAACCAAAATTTGTACTTGTTTTGAACCAGAGCCCAATGACTATACTATATAACTGACGACCTCAGCCATGAAGATCTAATTCAATAAATTGAGACTTCAAAATATCAGATGGAAAATATCAAAATTTTCTTATTGAAAAGAAGTAAAAGCAATATAAACAGTGGACTATGATATGTTCAGTATGACAAGATGATGCTGTTAAGTTTACCCATTCAACTAGACTCTCATCTCCCAAGGGTTGTGAAGTATCGACAGGCTTCCGTCCAGTAATCAACTCCAGAAGCACAACTCCGTAAGAGTAAACATCAGATTTCTCAGTCAATTTGCCACTTGATGCATATTCAGGGGCCACGTATCTGAAAATGAACCCGAATCAATACATTATCTGGCATGAAAAGTACGTTTTTAAAATCTAGAAGACTCCTCAAGAATAGGTCCGGTAAAAGTGGTAAGCATATCATATGGACCAACACTAGATTGCTCACATACCCAAAAGTTCCCATGACACGTGTACTAATGTGTGTATTCGCATCAAGAGCTAATTTGGCAAGTCCAAAATCTGAAACCTGTAAAGTATATGGAGGAAACCATGAGCTACAATCTAACTGAAATAGAGAAGTACTGAAATGTACTCTGAGTTAACATTATGTCTACCCGAGCTTCAAAGTTGTTATCCAAAAGAATGTTCGAAGACTTTATATCGCGGTGAATAACTCGAGGATGGCCTGACATTAAAGAAAATAAAACAAATTTAGTCAAAAAAAAATTTCCAGATAAAATTATGTAACCCAACAAACTCTAGTATGAGGGTGTCATAACTTCAATCAGGTGATAAAAGCTAAAATTTAAAACATTTTACCGGGATAAATTATATAAAACAGGTTTAAAATACTTTGATATTCTATAGAAATGGAAGTACCCTCAAACTATTTAATCCAGAAATTAAGAAAATTAACAGCCAGAAACTAAGGGTAGATAATTACAGTCTTCATGTAGATAAGCAATCCCACGAGCTGCACCAGCAGCAACCTTAACTCGTGTTGCCCATTCCAGAACTGGCCTACCTTCCCCTGAAAAATGCAAGGTGCAAAACATGAGAATACTCAACCATTATCATTAACTGTTTCTTGAAAGCTAGGTTATAGATTTACCATGAAGATGGAAATAAAGGGTATCATTAGCGACATATTCATAGACAAGCAGCCTTCGGTTCTCAGAAATGCAGTAGCCCACCAGAGAAACCAAATGGCGGTGGTGTATGCGACTAATAATCTCAACTTCGGCTTTGAATTCTCGCTCACCCTGACCCCCACCAATCTTTAGTTGTTTTACTGCCACCTCTCTTCCATCTGGTAGGCATCCCTTATAAACAGAACCAAATCCGCCTTCACCCAAAAGATTCTGAGATGAAAACCCATTTGTCGCCTTATCTAGTTCTTCAAAAGTAAACCATGGTCTTGAATTGCCTAATCCTGCTGGTTCTGGTGGAGAATTCATGATATCACTGCCAGAATGACTTCCAACAAACGGAGCTGAAGAATGTGTCTTCAAGAAGGATGAATCTGGAAACAAGTTACAAAAGCCTTCTTATTTCATTTCAATGGCCTCAATTTTGTGGACAGAAAAAGTACCATCTATCTACAATGGTTTATATGACCCAATCAATTAAACCGACACCCTGATTTTTAATGAAGCTAAATAACTACCTAAAATAGTATATTGAACTTATTGTAATTTAGAAACATTGAACATAAAGCATGTGTATAAGTAGGAAGCTCAAAGAAACAAGTTCTGGTACTTGAAGTGTTCATCCTTAGGCATGTGAAGTGCCAAAAACAATGAGAAACCAGAAGGGGAAAAGGAATTAAATAAATAGCATAATAAGAAATCACTTGTGTTGTGTATGGTATAAGTTACCTGATCGGGGGGAAGAAGCCAGAGATGTCATAGCATAACCTTCTCCAGATATCTTTTTCCTTGGCCTCCTCAAGCACCATACAGCCAATCCAATGAGGCTAAGCACTATTAACCCAACCACTACACCAATTGCCACTACACCTCCAGTACCAATGCCCCCATTAGCTGTGGCATTTGAACTTGGTGATGCATTAGGACTGGAAGTGTTTGAGGTTGGTGGACTTGGAATTTGAGAAGGTGCTGGTGGAGAAGCATGCGAGGGTGGAGGTGGTGCCAGTCTATTTAAGGGTGGTGGAGGTGATGACTTTGGAGGAGAATTTGGGGGTGAAGGGGTTGGTTGAGAACCGGGTGGAATGGGAGGAGTAAGCCTAGGAGGCGGGGGTGCATTTGTTGGAGGTACTGATGCTGGTGGTGGAGGTGAACTTTTGGGTGGCACGGATGCTGGAGGTGGGGGTGAGTTCTCTGGCGGGTTTGATGGTGGTGGTGAAGTTTCGGGGGGATTTGATGATGGAGGTGGAGGTGACCTCTCAGGTGGTTTTGATGACGGTGGTGGTGGTGAAGTTTCAGGGGGATTTGATGATGGAGGTGGAGGAGAGTTCTCAGGTGGCTTTGATGATGGGGATGGTGGTGGTGAAGTTTCCAGTGGCTTTGACGGAGGTGGAGGTGAATTCTCAGGTGGTTTTGATAATGGTGGTGGAGGTGAACTCACTGGTGGACGGGATTGCGGTGGTGGAGGCGAACTTGCAGGTGGATCAGATGTTGGTGATGGTGGGGAAGGTGAACTTTTTGGTGGATTTGATGATGGTGGGGGTGGAGAATCAGAAGTTGGTGGAGGTGCATTGGATGATGGTGGGGGTGGAGAATTAGAAGTTGGTGGAGGTACATTGGATGAAGGTGATTGCGTAGCTACAGATGGGAATGAATTAGGAGGGGGTGATGGTGTGGTTGGAGGAGGAGCTGATGGAACAACAGGTGGTGGAGATTGAGTAGTTGAGTTGGAGGGTTCTGGTGAATCCAAACTTGGCTGAGAAGATGGTGTAATAGTTGAGGGTGGTTGTGGTGGTGGTGTTGAAGTAGTATTAGAAGCTGGTGGCACAGCCGACGGAGATGAGTTTGGAGATGGCGATGTGGTTGCCATCTATTTAGAACCAAATCCAGTGATGGATATCATATATAACTCGTACACCACAATCTTCAAGCTATCATGAAATTTTCAAATTTTCACAAAATCCAGAATTTTTTCCATACAAAAGCCAAAATTTTGAGCAAAACCCATAGAAGATAGGCCAATTTCAAGTCTTTATCCAACCAACAGTTCCAAACTTCCAAAACTGAAATTCCCCATCACCAAACTTCACCAACCAAACACAATATTCTGCTGGGAGAAAATCCCCGATCACTGAACTCGTTTAGAGCAAAACCCAAGTCAGCAAACAGATTTTCAGCATAACAGAGAGATGACTCTGAGCAAGTTTTCAAGCAGAAACGCAGATACCTAAGCTCAATAGTTAAAGATATTTGTACAAAATTCAATCAACAATCTTTCTCCAATGTGAACACTCAAAAGGTCCAAACTTTTGACGTGACCAAATGCAGCAGCAA